GGGAGCGCAGCCCTTGCCCCCCCATCTCTAGGTGAGGTGCCCCCTCCCCAAAACCATCCCCCCCTGCTGTTAGCCTTGCAGTGTGTCATCCAACCCCCCCCCCCTTTTAATGATGTGCACAACGAGTTCTTCAATTGGACGGAAAAAAAATATTTTTGAGGCCACTCTGTTTGACAAATAGGGAGTCAAGCCATTTTGGATTCCATTATTTGTTTGGCTATAGAACAGGCTTCCCCCAAGCCCACCCCCAGGCTCCCAGAGCCACCAACATTGCAGGGAAAGCTTCCTCTGACTCTCCTCTACAATCTCTCTAAATTTGCTGAAGGGTTAGGGTTTCCCCAAACCAGTGGCTAAAGGACACTTTCCTGGGGGACACAATTTGTGAGTGTATAATCTGGATGTCTATAGTCCAATCTCCAGTTGGTGTATCTAGGCGCTTGGGGGGGGCATTTTGTAGGGTTTTAAAGTCAGAATGGAATTGATGAATTGAATTGTTTTGTCAGAAAATATTTGTGAATTCGTGATTTGTTGACTTTGATGAATAAGTCAAAACGAATTACCACTTTTCCGATTCAGACCCATATTCGCCTGGAATCCACCTTTGTGAAGTACCATTACTGGCCCTTGCTGGATAGCTCAGTGGCTTAGGTCAGAGGTTGGGGGTTCAATTCCCCACTGTGCTTCGTCGACAAGGGTTGGACTCAAAGGTCCATAGGTCCCTTCCAGGTCTACTCTCCCAATATTATTATTGTTATTATTATTGAATTCTAGACGGGAGACGTGGACTGAGGAGAGAGGAAGCGATGAAAGAGGAAGTGCCTGCACGCCCAGAACAGGAAGAAGAAACGAGAGACGTCGCTGGCGGGGTTCAGCCGGAAGATACGAGAAAGCGGCCAGGATGGGGTCCATCCTGGGAACCAGTTCAGGGGAAATGGGAACCAGTTCAGGGGATGCAAGAGCACTGGGAAGCCCAGTGGCAGGAGTTCCTGAGGACCCTGCAGCCTATTCACACAAAATGGGACCCCCCAGTCTTATCAGCGAGGGACCCCTGGGAGGATACCAGGGCCTTCCTGGCCTCCTTTGAGCAAGTGGCCACGGCCTGCCGGTGGCCAAAGGAAGAGTGGCCAGCCCGGCTCCTGCCAGCACTTCATGGGGAAGCAGAAGAGGCCTTTCAGAGCCTGGAAGCCAGAGACAGGGAGGATTATGGGAAAGTGAAGGCTGCCATTTTGCGAGGAGATGCCCTGAGGATGGAGGTGCGACGCCAGCACTTCAGGGACTTCTCCTGCCAGGAGGTGGAAGACCCCAGGAGGCTTCACAGCCAAATCCAAGAGCTATGCCACCAGTGGCTGAGGCCGGAGAGACGCAGCAAGGAGCAGATCCTGGAGCTGCTGATCCTGGAGCAGTTGCTGGCCAGCCTTCCGCCGGACCTGCAGGGCTGGATCCAGGCAGGAGGGCCCGACACGTGTTCCCAGGCCGTGGCCCTGGCGGAGGACTTCCTCGTGAGCCAGGAAGGGGCTGAACGAGGAAAACAGCAGGTGAGGTTTTTAAGATTGAATTCCCCATCTCTGAGAGAGCGCAGAACATGGATGAGATTGTTGAAACCACCAGCACTTTTTCTATTAGAAGTTGCTAGCTTTGATCACTCTTAGCAAAGACTGTTCCCAGATTAATTTCATACACGAATCACCTCACAAAAATGACATTTTAAATCTAAGTAAGGCACAACCCTGAAAGGACAAATTTTCCAGCCCACACCATTTTATTATTAGTTACAGTTATTTCTAAAGAGTGTCTGCCAACTAAGATGAAGAAAAAGTGTAATTCCAACATTTTGTTCACAATTAGAAAGCATCACAATAACCTCACGAGAACTAGTAACTTGCTAAGTTCTTGATTTACCAAGGAGATTGTTTTATTCTGTTGTTTTACTTGAGCTTTTAATATTGCTCTTATTTATGAGTTTTGGTATCTTTAATGCTTTTTTAATATTGCAGTAATGGATTATTTAACTTTTAACTTTGTTTCTTTTGACCCTCTAGGCCCCCTTAATTCTTTCAGGAGAATTTTTTTAATATTGCAGTAATGGATTATTTAGCTTTGTTTCTTTTGACCCTCTAAGCCCCCTTAATTCTTGCAGAACACTTGGCATATAAATATTTTAAATAAATAAATGTATTTGCTTCCAAACATCAGCTCACATTATTAGGTGTCTCTCACTCATCTTAGTTCCTGTCCGATCCATACTGTGAGTTTGATTCTTTTTTCCCATTTTCAGGGGCTGGTAAAGGAGGAGGGGGTTGATCCTCTGGGTGCAGAAGGAGACAACTCGGATGAGGCGAAGGAACAGGTTTTTAAAAAAGCTGGGCAATATGGCCATGTTCTGTCACTTCCTCCCGAAGGCCCAAAAGACGTTCAAGAAGGTGGGAGCGAGGTATGTGATATTCTGGCGAGTCTGTGGGACATGTTTGAGGCTGGGAATATGTACAGCAGGGTTGGGCAAAATTTGATTGATTGATTGATTGATTGATTGATTGATTGATTGATTGATTGATTGATTGATTGATTTACATAGGCCCTGGTCACATGACAGAAATGTTCTCTACTTGTGTCTCTACCCCCCCCCTTAGTTCACTGCTTTTTCCCCCTGGTCACATGACGCACAGTAAAGATCGGGACATTTCCCCGGCCTGTGGTATAACTTCGGAACATTTCCCCACCTCCAGGAGGGTTATGTAGTTTTGTACCTTTGTGTACCGGTACATTCCTTACCGGGCTTGCCTATGTGCCCAACCTGCACCCACTTCTTTTCCACACTGCCGCCCTATTGCTCCAGAGATCACGATCGCCGAGCCACTCCTGGCAGGAGGCAGGACGACAAGCCTCTCTGCCAGGTTGAAGAGTGGCTCGGCAATCTCAATCTCGAGAGCGATAGGATGGCAGCACAGACCCTGCAACATTAGCGCATCGGTGAGCGGACCGTCCGGCCCCATGGGGCCGGACCCTCATTATCTCCCATTTCCCCCCCCCATCTCTAGTCCAAATATCCATTTGCCACATTCCTAGTGAAGCTTTTCACCTTAATTTTCGTTATTTAGTGACAAATTCTGATGGAAAGGGTGGCTGTCATATCTTCATATCTTCAGGAAATGATGACCTTCAAAGAAAGTGCGGCATCATTACAAATCGTCAAACGGAGTCCCTCTCAGACGGGCCAGGAGACCATCCTCTGGCGAGTCCTGCAGGAGACCAGGAGCATAGATCCTTTAGGTAAGGACCTTGATCATGCGGAACCTACAGAGATCCTATAAAGATTAGCCAAGCCCATTTGCCATTTTTAGATCAGAAGAGAGTTGATAGAACTTGGAAGAATAACTTTTTCAAAGAATACAAATGTAGGAGCTGGTGATTATCAGTCTAATAATCACTTATTTTCAAACCCCCCCCCCCCCCGTTTCTTCTCAAATAATTCCAAATTTAAATCTCCTTTAAACATTAACATCCTGCTGGAACTTGAAAGTTCAGTGATTTCTCTCTCTGCAGTGCCTAAACGGCCAATTACTGCTCCTTCTGTTCCATCTCTCTCTTGCACTCCTCACATCTCCATCCGACGTAGTAGGACCTGTCCTGTATTATTATTTATTATTATTTATTTATTTAACTGTAGCTGTTCCTCCAGTCTAGGTCTCTCTTGTTCCCGTTGGTGATCGTCCACCAGGCCCCATTCACAGAGAGCATTTAAACCCTCCTCTACTTAAGTTACTTACAATCTCTTTTGGTGTGGAAAACTGGAAACCCTCAAGAATATGTTAGTTCTTCATCAAAATTGTGGTAACCAGCCTCATGTTTCTTCTCCAGATCACTGTTTGATAGCAAAGGTTGGAGTATACTGGCTATGGCACTTCAGGCAACTGTCCAAATTTTTCCCTTTCGTAAATATTTATTTCTTCTAAAAATTAGCAAAATGGACCACAGTGTTTCTGGGGGCCATCTTTGCTCCATATTTAAATCCCACTCTACACAGTTTCTCCTGGTCTTCTTCCACACTTGGGGCCACGGTATTGATCCACTGTCGGCCTTCCTCTCTGATTTTCATTTCATCCTCCTCACCACCTTCTGAGAAACCTCATAGCTTGACATTTTTCCTCCACCCTCTGTCTTCTAGATCAATCAATCTTTTTATCAGTTTCAGTAAATTTAACTTCATGCACGTATAGCTGTCTAGTATTCGCCCTGACTTTTCTATTCATCTGCTTAACTTCTGAACTGAGTATTTTTGCATCATCTTTGTGATATTGCTTTGTATATCTCTGCTTTAATACCAGTCACAGATTTCTCAATTTATGCTTTTAAATTTGCTATAACTTCCCGAGAATTGTGCTCCATCATTTTCTTTGTTTCAAGGAGCAATGCAGCATTTCCTTTTGCTATCTTCTCACTTTGAACCAGCTCTTTAGATACAGAAAATGCACCTCCTGGTTTTATTAGTGATGATGCTTGATCAGCAGTTTCACCCATAAGTTCAGGTTCAAAAGCTTCCACTTCCTCTCCCTCTCCCTTCGTTTTATCCTGACTTCAAATCTCTGAACAAACTTCAAAATTTTCAACCACTATAGCAACTTCCACTCTTAGAAACCTTGCTGAACTCAAGTCCTCCTGTTGTAAAACTATTGGTGATTGAGATACGGGGTGTCATATTGAAGGAGAGTGGGATTTGTAGTCAATGAGAATGAGAGAAAATGAAGTCAGTTAGGTATCCAAAGTGGAAGGAGTTGAAGACATGGGAATGTGGAAAAGGCTGAGAGGCTGTTTTTCCTAAATTACAGTCAGGCTGGTACAGAGTAAAACCTGATAAGAGGCCAGGTCGAAGAGACCCCAGTGTGAAGACCCAACAAATTCCTGCCTAATTGGAATGGAGACAACCCACCTGCATCTCCATGAGAATTGGAGGCGGAGTGGACAGTTACTCCTCTTTGAGTTAATTGGTTTACAGCCATGAAGAAGGAGGTCCGAGGAATGTAGAAAAATGGATGATGGGTTATGTTTGAGAGACCATTTCGTGGGAAAGGACTTTTTTCCTAAGAGAAGTTCCTGATGGTTTTGTGTTGTGTAGCTGAATGGAAAAAGAATGTAGCATGGTAAGAAAAGAAGGAGGTGGGGCTAGCCCACCTTAGCTCAGCTTTTAGTGTTTATTCTTTTAATGGGAAGCAGTTATTGTATTTAACTATGGTAATCCTTTGAATGTGTCTTTATGCTATGCTTAAGCAAACAAACTGTTTCTATGAAACTATATTTTCTTAATAAAAAATAAAATAATTATAAAAATTCCTGCTGAGGACTAGTCTCTTGGACCAACAGGGGTTGGCTAAATCCAGAAGAGGGGGTAAAGTCCATTGATTAGCTACCATAGAGACGTCCTATTTAAACAAGCTGTTGTGAGTTCTAAGGAATCACATGGCCCATGTTGAAGTACTTGCAAAGTACTGAGTGAAGTGTTCTTTAAGGGTCAGGCTTGTTCAAGGCACAGATGTTGTGAACTCCTGAAGGTTGAGGCCTCAGCATAAAGTGGTAGATTTGTGGCCTGTGGAACTCCCTGCCTGAATGTCATATGCTCCTTAGGGAGGCTTGAGCATCATATGGGTTGAATTATCTTTCGCTTCCAAACCTTTCCTTCTCCCTTTTTCAACTGTTTAGACATTCAAAGCAAAAAGCAAAGCGAAGTACACTGCTTATAGACTGCCCCTTAGCATTTAAATTTAATGTGCAGGTACTCTTTGCCCCATTCCCCAGCAAGCTGGTACTCAGTTTACAGAATGATGGAAGACTGAGTCAACCTGGGGGGGGGGGCTACCTGAGCCCATCAGGATTGAACTCAGATCATAAACAGAGTCTTGGCTGCAGTATTGCAGTTTAACCACTGATACCACAAGGCTCCTTAAGCCTTCTGGCACAGTGAAATTTCATCACAAGCTGCCATCAGTAGACTTCTCATGGAAAAGGGAGAGTTAAATAGAAAACCTCACCCCCTTCGTTAGCACCTGACAGAAAGGTGCATTTCTTCCTCTTTTTGAAACTTAAAAAGTAACATTTCAACACTATTACAGGGGAATGTTTTTTTAATCCTTTATTGAAGGATGGAAGCTGCTTGGCTTAACTGATGATCATGCTCAATCAGGAAGCAGAACCCCATGTTTAAAATCATGTTCCCAAATAAAAGAAGGGAATTCATGATAGACTGAAATGTCTTAGAAAGAAAAGCCTGACAAATAAGGATAAAATAATTGTATTTTATTTTTTCACACATCTTTAGCCCATGGGCAAAATTCTTCCCTCTGTCTCCGTAGGTGATGAGAAAGGAGGTCAGATCAAGACAGAGAATTCTCACTGTGGAGGAAATGAGGTGGAGGATATGCAGAGGGCAGCCCCACAGATAAGCCAAGTGAATGTGACAGAGACCGCTGAGATAAACAAAGCGAGATTTCGCTCCCAAGAAGAACTGGGGAAGCAGGCAATCAATGGGGCAGATGAATGTTGTGAGATCAGAGAAGATATGACAGTTGCTGTCATCCCAAATTCCCATTCAGATGAACAGCAAAGAACTGTAATTGGAGAAAATAAAATGTACATCAGTTTTAGAGAAGAAATAACTAGATCTAAGAGAAGTCATACCGGAGTGAAGCCATACAGATGTTCTCATTGTGGAAAATGCTTCACTCAGGGAGGGTATTTGAAGATTCATCAGCGGGCACACACAGAGGGAAAAGCCTACAAATGTTCTCAGTGTGGGAAATGCTTCAGTCAGAAATCGTATCTAAAGACCCATCAGAGAATTCACATGGAGGAGAATCCATACAAGTGTCCCGATTGTGGGAAAAGCTTCAGCCGGAACGAACACCTCAAGAGCCATCGGATCGTTCATACTGGAGAGAGGCCGTACAAATGTCAGTCGTGTGACAGAAGCTTCAGTCGGAGCGAATATCTAAAGAACCACGAGAGGATTCACACTGGAGAGAAACCCTTTGAATGTTCCTATTGTGGGAAGTTTTTCACTCAGGGGGGATATTTGAAAATTCACCAAAGAATTCACACAGGAGAGAAACCATACAAGTGTTCACAGTGTGGGAAATGCTTCACCCACAGAGACTACTGGAAGAGCCATCAGAAAACTCATAGTGGAGAGAAACCCTACAAATGTCCTGAATGTGGGAAAAGTTTCTGTCGCAGTCAACAGGTCAAGAGGCATCAGAAGATTCATAGCGTCGAGAATGCCCAGAACATAGGGAAGGATTAAGTTGGAATAAATATGTGAAGAACCGACGTGTACATTACTTAAAAACAGGTTCTCAGTTTAGGAAAGGATTAAGTTGGAATAAATATGTGAAGAGCCGACATGTACTAAAAAACAGGTTCTCAGTTTAGGGAATGCATCCCTCAGAGCAGATAAGTGGCAGAATCCTCAGAAAACGCTGTGGAGAAATCATAGCCATAGAGATTACAGCCCAGAGTGTCTAAAAAGCTTTTGAGGAGAATATTTGCTCAGCATCTAAAGAAGTCCTGGGGGTCAGAGGACGGGAATTAAAAAGAGAAAGAAGCATCAAAAGTAGAATGGAGAACATTGATATTCTGGGATCACTCTCCATTTTGCCTGGAATGTTGCATTTTACATGCAGTAATATTAATTAATATTCACGTAATTTGTAGTCAGTGTGCTAGTTTGGGCTGTGATCCTAAACACGGTATGAGGTGAAAATACTATTTATGAGTAAATTTGTTTTGGATACATGCATTTTCCTTGTCACTGTTTTTAATCATAGAAAAGTGAAGTTAGAAGGAGCCTACAAGGCTATCAACTCCAACACTCTGCTCAATGCAGGAATGCCATCCAAGCATACCTGCCATGTGATTATATAAGTTTTTCTTGAATGCCTCCAGTGTTGAAGCACTCACCAACTGCCGAGGTAACTGGTTCCACTGTCATACTGCTCTAACAGGAAATTTTTCCTGATATTCACCCGAAATCTGGCTTCCTTTAACTTGAGCCCATTGTTGCGTTTCCTGCACTCTGGGATGATTGAGAACAGATCCTGCCCCTCCTCTCTATGACTGCCTTTCAGATATTTGAAAAGGGCTATCCTATCACCCCTCAGTCTCCTTTTCTCAAAGCTAAACATGCCCAGTTCTTTCAGTCTTTCTTCCCAGAGATTGGCTTCCAGTCCCCTGATCATCCATGTTGTCCTCTTCTGAAATCATTCCAGTTTGTTGACATCCTCCTGAAAGTGTGATGTCCAGAACTGGACACAGTACTCTAGATGACGCTGGATATTTAAAATGGTACCCAGTTTCGGCAGCCACAAAAAAAAAACCCTTGATGACAGCATTGCACCCAATGGTCTATGGTGCATCTTTTGGCTTCTCCGGCTTCTGACTGTGATACCAAAGCTCTTTGAGTAGGCAGTGAATTTTTCTATGGTCCCTTCCTCTTTGTAGGGGAAAGGCCCCAAGTACTGGCATTGCATTTCTAGTCTCAATGCATCTGCTGACAAGATGGCAGCCTTCGCTTTCCCATAATTCTCCCTGGCTCTCGCTTGAAACGCATGCTGTCCTTCTCCATGCAGTGCTGGCACTCTTTATCCATGGCTCGTAAATTTTAGCCACTTGCTCAAAGGAGTCCAGAAAGGGCTCTTTCCTGTGAAACACTGCTAGCATCCTTGTTTTTTTTTGTCCTGCGAAGCCTCTTCTCTTGATTTTCCATGACACACCCCGAAAAACCACCATTTCAGTGGAATGGCAGACCAGAGAAGAGGCAGTTGCCCCTTCCCGTCGTGCAGCAAAATGAGACTCGCCTCTGTGTGTTCTTTACCTAGGAAACCCTGAGAAGGGTCGCCATAAGTCAGGATTGACTTGACGGCACGCAGTTATTGTTCTTCAAAGTATAACACATAAAATCACCGTTCGGTAGGGGAGGCGCTCTTAAGAGGTCGAAGGGGTGTGGTAATGCCAAAAGAGCTTTAAAAGGTTAATTTTAAAGATTTTTCCCAGCAATCCTTTACCCAAGAAGACCACAGGCCCTCCCCACCCCCAAAAAAACTCACTTTTCCGTGCCCTAGTAGTCAAAAGCGTACAGACCAATTTCAGGATCCACATTCCAAAAGCTTTATTAGGATTTTGGGGGAAAGGAGAAATCAGATAGGTAACATCCACTCAAAGAAATAAATCTGTTTCCTGTCTACGTAATCAGCACTATGGAAGAATTTGAAACCTGACTTGCGGGATAGATAGTGTGGCCCAAAACATTTCTGCTTCCCGAAGCACGTTGTGCTTTCGCCTGTCATGATATGAAACAGATGGATTTCTATGGGCCCTTTACAGTATTTGAATGGCTGTGTCCATACGGTCTGTGCTGTAGGTAGACAGATAGCAATCCGCAAGGAGTCCAGGCTCGCTCACTGCTTATGGTGAAGAGGAACCCTTCTGCTATCCCATCATGGTTGCAGCTGTCTACACCACCACCACCCCACTCTCTCTGCTGGTTCCCCGCCTCCCAACATGCAAGTGGGGGTGTTGTAGGCACAACAGAAAGTGGATGCCCGGGGGGTCTGAGAAAGAAATTGAGACAGGCGAGGGAGGCTGCCGAGTCCCACCACCCCACTCTCTCTGCTGGTTCCCCACCTCCCAACATGCAAGTGGGGGTGTTGTGGGCACAACAGAAAGTGGATACCTGGGGGTCTGAGAAAGAAATTGAGACAGGGCGAGGGAGGCTGCCGAGTCTGGTAAAGGTAAAGGTAAAGGTTCCCCTTGACAATTTTTGTCCAGTCGTGTTTGACTCTAGGGGACGGTGCTCATCCCTGTTTCCAAGCCACAGAGCCAGCGTTTTGTCCGAAGACAATCTCCCATGGTCACATGGCCAGTGCGACTTAGACACGGAATGCAGTTACCTTCCCACTGAGGTGGTCCCTATTTATCTACTCGCATTTGCATGCTTTCGAACCGCTAGGTTGGTGGGAGCTGGGACAAGCGACGGGTGCTCACTCCGGCGCATGGATTCGATCTTATGACTGCTTGGTCTTCTGACCCTGCAGCACAGGCTTCTGCGGTTTAGCCCACAGCGCCACCACGTCCCTGAGGTGGGGCCTAATTTCCCCCCTCCCACTTTCCTATCGCTGGAGGCGGGCACCTCACCCTGCCTAATGACAGGGCAGGCCCACATGGCCATGGGCATTAAGCATCTTAATAGAACGGTTGTTTGCTAAGGAGGGAGAAAATATTGGCTCCAACAGAGTGGAGAAAGAGATCTCAGACGGCTGATGCAAAGAAACTTCATTGGGGCTCCGAAGGAACGGAAATGAACTTGGGGGGGGAACCAAGGGTCATGTCACATGGGTTCTCAGAGCAGGACAGAGCCAGGAAACGTGCTTTTGACCTGAATCTCCCAGAATCATCCTCAGCCAGCAACTTTCCCAGCCTGCCCTCAGGGAGCTCAATTCCCCGTCAGCCCAGTCAACTCTAGTGGTTTTGCACTTGAGAATCCTCAGGCACCATCGAACCCAAATCCGTCACGGTTGGCCGTTTGGAGTTTGTGAGAGTTGCAAGGCTAACTTCATCTCGGGGAGGGGGCAAATCAAACGGTACTGTGGAAATGCCAAAAACGGGGGGCTGTTGTCCCTATAAGGAGGCTTAAAACATGACAACATGGACTTTGGAGGGCCCATCCACCCCTTGTTGGGGTAAGAAGGGGACCTGAAACCAGATGAGGAGAAAGCAGGTATGCAGAGCTGCAGAAGAACGGCACCATCTCAAATGTTTCATTTTTAAATATCTTAGTTGTTCATGTGGTTCACTTCCTATAAAAGTGAGAAGAACCTGGTACTTTGGGGGGAAAGGGGGGTTTATTCGCTACAGGCGAGCCGGGAAAACAAAATCGCAATAGTGGCAACATTATGTCATGGGTTCTGATGTGGTAGTTCTTTCCAGAGCTTGGAATAAATTGATTTTTAAAAAACCCACATTAATAAATACATTTTTCCCTCCCAAGGCCCAAAGGCAAGTAAACGGGTGGCTGTGAAGGACAGGATGATAGGAGTGCACCGTCTCCTCCAGAAAAAACAAGGACATAAAGCGAGTGAGAAATGAGAGGGAGATGTTAAAGACGAAAGAAGACAAAGAAAGGGTTAAAATAGAAGTTTGTCTGTTGGAGGAAGGGAAAGGAAAGGAGGAGGCATAGGGGAGGAAGACATAAAAGTGGGGACAGGCGCCCACCTGGGATTTTTTGGATCGAGACAAACGAGAGCGAAGGAGGAGAAGGAGAATGTGAGTCACTTGCTAAAGGACTTCCCTAACCTGAAGGTGGGAGGCCTGTTGCCTGATCCAGCACCAGAGGGAGAAGGTGTGAGAATAAGAGAAATGTCAGAATGGACCGTGGCAGTAAGGAAGACATAAAAGTGGGGACAGGCGCCCACCTGGGATTTTTTGGATCGAGACAAACGAGAGCGAAGGAGGAGAAGGAGAATGTGAGTCACTTGCTAAAGGACTTCCCTAACCTGAAGGTGGGAGGCCTGTTGCCTGATCCAGCACCAGAGGGAGAAGGTGTGACAATAAGAGAAACGTCAGAATGGACCGTGGCAGTATTCCCAAGGGGACGCGGCCCCTGGAAGAAGGTGGTACGCCTGGACCCCACCTTCAACAAGCCGCCCTCAGAGGGGGATTGGGCCCATCATCCGTGCTGTGGTACTATATGCGCAGTAAGGAGCGCGTCCTTGAGGAGGCCCAACGACAAAGAGCGCTTCGGTCCGGCACCCCAGTTTTGAAGAGGGGCTTTATTTCTAATGATCATGATAGACTCTTAGATGGACAGTTGAATGGTTGGGACTCGTTTGTCCCCACAGAAGTTGTCATTGATACACTGTTGTGAAACTTGAATAAAAACAGGTGTAGTTTAAATCACTCAACTGAGTCTGTTTCCGCGCCAAATTCGGGACCGCCAAAAACCTCTAACGAACCTTCTGACGGTGGCTTAATTTAAAATTGACCCACTACTTTAACAGAGTTCTAAGCTTTTAGTTAATTACACAAAGAAAGGGTCTAAGTGGTCGGGATAGGGAGCGTGGCCAGAGAGGATAGTGGCGACAAGAGCCTCCTGGCCGGCCACTGAACTGTGGGATATGTAGTCCAAATCACCTGGAAAAGGACAGGCTGGGGGGGACACAACTTAAAACTAGAAAGAATTTGACAAAACAGCACTAGAGAGAACAGTGTCAGCCACAGTAACATACCATTTTCTGCTAGGGTTTCCTTTCAAACTAGAAGCGTAGTACTTATTGTAATCTTTAACCTTACTAATTAAAAACTTCCACCACTCATGTTAATCAAAGCTAAATTAGGTTTGGAGGTCCTCTAAATAAAATCTTAACCAACTGGGCCTTTTGTATTAATGCTGCAAGCTTTGTTTCCCCACCAATTGTGTGTTATGTGCGGTCAAGTCTGAACCGATTCATAGTGACTCTAAGACGGCTTTCTAATACGACTGGCTAGATAGCTCAGTGGTTTAGGTACCTGGCTCTGGAGCCATAGGTTGAGGGTTTGATTCCCCACTGGGCCTACTGGGAGAAAAGCCAGCCTGTGTGGCCTTGAGCAAGCTGCACAGTCCCAGGTCTTCCCCAGAGAAAGGAAAGGGGAAACCACTTCTGAGTATTCTCTGTCTGGAAAATCTTGAACAGGGTTGTCATGATTCCCTTGAGGGCATGCAATTATTGTTATAGGACTTTCAAAGTAAGTGAGATATCTGAGGAGGGGTTTTACCAGCTCCACACATCCTCTATGAGGTGAAATTTAAACCTACATCTCCTAATCCAGCACTCTAACCACTAAACAACACTGCGAATCTTTCCTAGTTTTAGTCTCTCTTCCCTCCCCCCTTTCTTTTTTTTAAAAAATCTTCTTGCTGCTGAAAAGAAAGCAATGGCCATTGATGATTAGGACATATGAGGTATTGTATTTGAAAAATGTAACTTTTTTAAACTCTGCGGAACAGAGAAAATTCCACCAGACTATCTGAAAGAACCTTCCTCCTGCCTCATGGCGGAATGACAAGGGTATCAACAGACAGGATTCGAGCACCCTGTTGCATTATGGCTAGCATCCAAAATGGAATCACCGCTCTATTTTGAGCATTTAAAGGCTCTCCACTCTATATGATTCTTCCACTGGTTGATTAAAGTGCAGCTGATCAAAACCAAGAGTCTAATTTACATTGTTGCCCCCCTAGATCAGATGGGCCTAGTGAGATGTCGCGGGACAAAAACTCCCATGATCCTTAGACAGAAGAACGCATGAAGCAGTTCTCATGGGAACTGCAGGCCAGCAATGTCTGGAGGGACACAGGTTGCCCACCCCTGCCCGAGATCTTGGGCGTTCACGTTTGTGTGGCAGCTGAAGCTCTTCCCATACTCTGAACACTGAAACGTGTTCTCACCGGTATGGATTCGACAATGAGCTTTCAGGTGCGTGCTCTGACTGAAGCTCTTATCACATTTGGAACACTGGTAGGGCTTCTCTCCCGTGTGTACCCTCTGATGCGTCGTCAGGTCGTTCTTCCTCATAAAGCTTTTTCCGCACTCGGCACACCGGTAGGGTTTCTCCCCCGTGTGAATCCAGTGGTGCGACCTCAGCTGGGCGCTCCAGCTGAAGCATTTCCCGCACTGAGAACACTGATAGGGTTTCTCACCCGTGTGAACCCTCTGGTGGATGGTGAGGTCGTTCTTCCTCATGAAGCTTTTCCCGCACTCGGAGCATTTGTACGGCTTCGTTCCCCGGTGGATCCGGTGGTGGATCCTCAAGTGGGTACTCCGGCTGAAGTTCTTCCCGCACTCGGAGCATTGGTAGGGTTTCTCCCCCGTGTGGATTCGGTGATGCCGGGTCAGGTTTATCCTCTGACCAAAGCTCATGCCGCACTCGTAGCATTTATACGGTTTTTCCCCAGTGTGGATCCGCCGATGTCTGGCAAAGTTGCTCTTCCAAACAAAGTTCTTCCCACATTCTAAGCACTGATAGGTTTCTGCCCCAGCGTGGATGGCTTGTGGAAGTCTCTTGATCTGAGGGAAGCTCTTTCTGCCCTCTGGGCATTTCAGCTCTTTGCCTCCAGAAAGACGTCCTTGAGGCTCGCTAAGTCTTGACTGATTTATTAAGTAGTTTCCCATTAAAGAGAATTTGTTCACTTGGTGGTTTTCTTCTCCAGCTGGGATCTCCCAGAAAGCAGATCCTTTGGACATAATGGATCCCTGCCTCCAATCCTCCTTGTTTTCAGTTTTTATTCTCAGCTCCTTGCTCTCATTTCTTCTTTTCCCCCAATCACCTGCTGGGATAAAGAAAGAAATCCAGTAAAGGAGATGGGTTGTTATTTGTTTATTTCTTTGTTACCTGTGTATCCCAGCCTTTCTTTTTTATTAGCTCAAGGATCTCCCGCTCCCCAATTCATCTTCACAGCAACTATAAAGAAAGAAACCCAGTAAAGGAGATGGGTTGTTATTTGTTTATTTCTTTGTTACCTGTGTATCCCAGACTTTCTTTTTATTAGCTCAAGGTACAAGGAACACATGGGTCTCCCGCTCCCCAATTCATTTTCACAGCAACTCTGTGAAGTAGGCTATGGTTGAAAGACTGGGGCTTACCTAAAGCCACCCAGTGATTTTCATGGCCAAACAAGTATTTAACTGCAGTCTAAGGCTCTTGCCACCATACCACACTTCCTCTTAATAAATTTATTAGACCTGGCAAAATCATTTTAATTTACCTAGATACCCTGCACAAGATCTGAAAATTGCCATGCTGGAGAAGAAAAATTACAGGACAAGAATACAGAGAGAGAATTGACATAAAATATATACATATGTTTAAAACCCATCTCAATGGACTCAATATTAGCCAAGGTTTCTTAGGCTATTATCAAAAGTAAAACACTGTCATAACTGTATTCTCTCTGCTGCGCTTCCCAGCTGTAATTCCTCCCTAACTAAAGCTATTTTACAAGCCCCATTGGTGATTAGAGACACTCATTACCATGTAGTTCCCACTTGTTATCTACAGCCTGGGATTCGTTTAGCCACCAATCAATTATAGAACAATGCTTCCTGGAAGGGGAACTGAGTATCAGCAGGGGTCGTAAAGGCCACTGACAAGTGAGAAATGCCACATTAAACATACAGCAACATTTATTTGTATGTCTCTCCCGCCATCTTACCTTTTTAAATTAGTTTTAGTTATTTGACGTCTTTTGTGTATGTGGATGGGATGTTTAATTTTGGCTTTTGTCTAATTATTATGTTTATGTCTGTTAAAGCGTTATTTGTTTTATGGTGCTGTGAACCACCCAGTGTGGCCTTGGTAGTCAGATGGGCTGGACAGAAGTTGAATAAGTAAATAAATAAAATGAATAATAAATAAATCTGTTTGGAGGCCATGTATAAAAGTTTGCCATACAGTCTCACTTTTATATCAGAGGAAATGGGCTTGTCCACAAAAACTCAGATTAAAATATAGAATTTAGCTTTTAAGGTGCCATAATGTTTTGGTCTTTTTCTTTCTTTCTTTCTTTCTTTCTTTCTTTCTTTCTTTCTTTCTTTCTTTATTTCTTTCTTTCTTT